TATCCACACATATACACACGGTAGTCGTTTGAGTGTCGTCGAGGTCGCAATTTTATGAGACCTCGCGATCGCCACTTAACGACCTCTCTACACTGTCGATTTCTCATCACCTTCCGTGTTGTTGTCTTTGTCTTTTTCCTACGCTTCTGTGAAAAATGGCGTCACTGTTCCAATACCGCCTCTTGCAGTATTAGTTCTTTGATGTCATCGCTCACAATTTCCTCTGTGAAATCAATCATTAAGACTTTGTGGGGTCCAGCGTCAAAGTCGCTCGAATAACACTCTTGCGATAAAAAATGTGCAGAAGAGGTGAATCCTGGAGGCATCCGGAATGTAGTCAGGCAGTTCTGCGTTAATTGGCTTGGAGGGGTATTTAGCACATTCGCACATTCCTTTTAGTTGTTCATGTTAACTAACAGGTCTAACATTGGTGAGACATGTGAAGTCTTGTGAAGCTGCGGAATGGTACAAATAAGTGACTTTGTTACAAAAATTTACAGGTTTTCACAAGGTGGCCTATGAAACCTTCGTTGAATACCGAATATCGCCTCCACTAATGGTAAGCACTGCTGCGCCGAACTTAAATTTAAATTTTTCAAACAAATCCACCCCCGTAGAAAAAAGTCGATCAAAATCCGGCCCGTTTCCGGAAATCTGGGGTAGTAATAGTTGAATAGTGCCAAATTTTCGTGAGGGCTCCGAATAGGCCTGTTGAGCGTGGCTCCCATTACCGATCTTACAAAGGAGGTCTTTCAGATTATGAAGCTCTTTTTTTCGAGCAATCCCTGACGGAAGTGGAATTCATTTTAATTGCGCGCTTCCTGAAAATGTCAAAAAGGAAGAACAACAATTTGATGATTCGAAGCCATTCCGACAAAATCGATCCTGCATTTTTTATTTTCGTGCCTTCTTAAATGTCTGTAGCTTCCTCCTGTGCCAAAACGTAGCCAAAACCCAATCTTCTGTCCCATAGGCAAAAATACCTTCTTTGTCATGAATTCACAAACCGTTTTTCATCCTTTGTTCTGTCGTGGTATTCCCTGAAACTAAGTGCCCTTTTATGACACAATGCATCCACCCATACATGCATGAACAACGATTTATTTCAGGCAAGGATTATATCGAATACACCTAATAAAAAGAATCTTAAACAGATTTAGAATTTTATTACTAGCATACTAATCAGCACAAGCTACATCTGCTTTGATCCTACCGAAGACCACATATCATTGGCAAGGTATGACCTGCAGGCATATAATCAGAAGGTCAGCCACTACTCGACTCAAATTACAACTTCACATCATCGACACAAGATTTCAAGTTTTTCCCTGCACTCTCTGGTTTGCATGGCTCTGTTTTGACGTGGGCTCACATAGCTGAGGATTTAAGGCGTTATAAGTGTCATCCCCCCCCCCCCCCCCCCCCCCCCCCCCCCCCCCCCCCCCCCCCCCCCCCCCCCCCCCCCCTGTGAAATTATTCTAGTTCTTCTTTCAAAGAAGGACCAATCATCTGGGCTATGCCATATGGCAAGCATTTGAAGGCCAAGGTCGCCGCGATCAGGGCGTGAAAGTTGAAAATATGGCGATTCAGAAGATGGTTGGTCTGCCGCCAACTAGGGCCGCGCGGGGGCGCCGGGCTTTACGCGGTTTCTCGGCAAAAGTTATAGAGGAGCGGGCGCTATAGCGTCATGTAGGTTCGGACGGCTCTCCTTTTGCAGTTCGAAATAGCATGAATATCGTCGCTTGTAAGGTCGTAGGGTTCTTATCAGGGAATCAGCTGTGCGGATGAGCGCGTGGTGTTGCATCCAGACTGGGATCGAAGTGGGGTTCTGTCCAGGGCATGTTTTCCTGCTTTTTTTTTCACCATCAAGTTGATCAGCGCTTAATCTTCTATATGCGAACCCTAAGTCCACTTTTCATCCTTTGTTCTGTCGTGGTATTCACTGAAACGCACACGAAAAAGTAAGTGCCCTTTTATGACACATGCATCCACCCATACAGCATGAAACCAACGCTTTTTTTGAAAAGCTCTCGACGATCTCAAAGACATTTGAGATCGTGGAGAGCTTTCCAATAAACCCCACTATGTGTGATGGCGAATGATCGAGGACCTTGCCTTTGAGATCTCCCAATGCGGAACTGATGCTATGCAAAGGAGATGGAGATTTTTGCAAATGCCCAGGAAAAAAGGAAATTTGGGTGGGTGAACTAACGTACTTGCGTGGAAGGGAGACATCGCCCTACAATAACCCCAGGTTTTGCGCGAGGAGTTTTTTGTGTGTCCCTGATCTTCAGAGTGCTCAAACTGAATCCCTTCAATCCTGTCAAATTTCTGTTTCTCTCAAGGATCTCTCGTCTGCATGGTATTGCATGACCACCGTGACCTCACAAATTCCAACGTTTCGTTCTATTTTCTTCACGCATGGTAAGTGGCTCACCACTACCCGAAGCCCACTGCCTTTGAAAAAGTTCAAGCCCCGGCTTGTCGCATGTATTTTTGTGACTCTGTTTGTGTGCGCACAAGATTTCGTAACAACTTCATGCGAAAAAGTTCAAGTAGCCACGTGTCCCGCTGCCCCGGTAAACTTGAACTCTTGAATGCGTCGACCTTCTGTTTTTCTCTGCGCTCTCTCGTTCGTATGGCATTCTACGGTCATTGTGATCACCCACATTCCAGTTTTCTACAAATGGCAACTGGCTCACCCATCTCGGAGTCCCCTCCCCTTGAAAAGGCTCTTATCCTGGCTCGTCACATGTATCATGCGCATTTTGATTTTTTGGCAACCGCTGGATCGAAAGAGGACCATAAACAATTCAAGATATCACGCAACCATCCCCCCCCCTCTTTGAGGAACAGCCTAATTATAAGCGTAGCCGCCGAAACACAATAAACTGAAAATGTTCTACAGTCATAATCACTGCTTCTGAGGGTGTAAATTCGGAGTGTTGCAAAGGCGACGTTTCCACCAATAAATGTCATTCTGAGTCAGCAGCCATTGATGGAGAGAGCTGCTTTGGCTGTGATCCAACTCAGGCCCCTCTGCACCCCCTAGCGCTTGTATGGATCGTGACTATACGTTTGTATACATAAGCACAATGTTTCTGAACGCAAAGCCTTGAATGGTTCGTTTTTGCGAAGTGAGGAAGTGCCGAAAAACAGGGTGCCGCCCAGTTGGTGGTACAACACTGCTTAATCTAACATGTGAGGCCCCTTTTGCCGCACATAATTTACAGTGAGTGTTTCGTTGTGTGGATTGAGAGTTACAGTCATGATCCCAAAACCGTAGGGCGTGTCACGGGGCGTGGAATGGAGCGCTACCGAAGCTGCCTTTCCATCAACAATGCCATCGTGAGTCCGCAACGATTGGCGGGGAGGAGAGTCTATTAACGCCTATCCACACGCCCTATCGATTGTAGGGATCATGACTACAGAGCAGTGTTACCTTGTGGCTGGCTACTTCTTCAAACTGTCTTCAAGACCGCATTAGGTCACGCCCCCTTGACTGACGGTGAGATAACGCATCCCCTATGTCTGAAGATCGCATAGCCATGAATGCCTTTTCAACAAGTTTGTAGCTCATCGAAAGTTGCTCCCGACTTATAGTAAGGAAACTTCCGCGTTAGAGTTATCTTGACAATTCTTTAACCTTATCTATAGAGTTGTTTGTCAGATGAAATGTGATTTCTACACGATCACACTGTCAATCATCACGGGAGTGGTGGCATCACCAATTTCTGATCTCATTCAGCGAACAGTTGTAGATGAAGACTCCATACTATCGATACCATCCCCAGCCAGTGCACTTGGTATGTCCTTAAATATTCTATTACGTAAAATATTCAATGCTTCGATAGAGCCAGAGACGTAGAGTAGTTTTTTTGGAGCGATTATTCGATCACCTGTGTTTGTTTTTTCGAGTTCAAATACCGTTAAAAACATTATTTTGAAAAAGTGTTTCCGGCGGTTGGTTTTGCAAAGTATGTCGTCTGCTGTTTCAGATGATTACCTTTCAATTTCTCTCCCAATTTGTTTAGCGTGGATTGCCGCATTTGGCCGCTAGAGGGGGAGAGTCGTAATCGCCTTTGGGAAAAATTTCTTCTGTTGTTGCGGTTGTTGACTTTTCTCGATTTTCGCAATATATTAGGGTGTCCGGAAAGTTTTGAGAAATTTCAACCAGCTCATTTAACACTTATCAACAACAATAAGAGATAGTAGTTCATAGTTATAATAAATATTGTCCATCCTATGTCCCTTACCTTTTGGGCGGGATTACCTTGCGTGGGAGCTAGAACTAAGCGAGTACTGAGAAAGCTAAAATTCCATGGAATGAGACCGAATGATCTCCTAAGTATAGATAGATTTGGAGCGCACTTTATCCAGCATCGAAGATTCATGTTCTCTGGACTTTGACCGACAGAGGAGGCCAGAAGCGACCGCGCTGTCAGTAAAATTTTTCAGGTAATAATGGAAACTAATAACAACGCATCATTAGTATGAAGCCGAAACAATCTCTTTCTCACATTACTTGATAATATTGACGTTCTAGTCAGGGATTTAGCTTGCTACACTTCTTCCAACCGTTTTTTATGTTTGGTGAAATCAGAACTCTCCGGACAAGCGTCATGCCTGCCAACCCCATCTGGTAGCGAAGGAGGACGGAGAAGCGACGTGCGTCGTATCAGAGGAGCTTTTGATGGGGCATCGTATTGTTCAAGAATTTTCTGCAAGGGCACTGCGTGCCCCAACTGAATACGCCGGCGGAATTACTGTTGGCACTATGACATCGCGAGGCAGTTCCACGAATTGTTTATGATGTTAGAGAAGGCAATAAAGACCTTGGCTTGAAAAAATGCCCGATCACTGTCATAGAAAATAAGTCTAGTTGATGTACTCGAGATGGATCGTAGCAAGCTTGTGCTTAAATGGCAGAACCTCTCAAGTCTGATTACATAAGTGCGCAGACAGCTACAAGAACTCGGCCATGCAATAAAAAGAAGTGGTAAGAGGTTCCGCCACCTCCACTGAAACTCAGCTAACAGCGGAACATCTTATTATTTTTGAGGCGAAGAAAATGATTTGGGGAAAAACACCAGCAACATAGACTAAGAAAACTTCGACCTGATCTGATCTATAATCCAGACAGTTTCCAACTACATATTTGTCAATTTTTTTGTACGTGTCCAACTTTCAGCGAAACGAGTGAGGTGTACAGTTTCCCAAATGATACCGACCTGCCCTAAGTTTTGAGCTCTTTTTGAACCTCCCTCCCCCCCCAGCCAGAGATTTGAATATTTCGTTTCTCGCTCCAGTGAGTAGGCAGTGGACAGGTCAGAAGGCTAGGTGAACCACTTTGTGGACATGATTGTTAGACTTCTGCTCCAGCAGTAGGCAGTGGACAGGTGAAGTTAGGGAGCCACTTTGTGGACATGTTGTTAGATTCCATAGCCAATGAATAAGTTACCGATTCTGAATTGCAACTCCTCTCATCCTGAAATCTCGGCTTTTTGATACTGCTTTGTTGCTGTACTTGTTTCATTAGGCTTTTCAGGTGGAAACTTTTCGGCCAATGTTCTGGCGCTATCGTCCTTTTCAATAGCTTAAACATGGCCCTGAGCTTCAGCACTGTCCTTCTTTATGGCTGATGTTTTCTAAAGTTATTTTGTGCTACAGGAGCTTAAAGGCGTACTCCGCCACCTTGGCGTTCCGAAGTGAGGACGTCGCAAAGAGAACGAACAGGAAACTAAAACAATTTTCGAGCACTAATAGCTGGGATGACCACGGTACTCACTTGTTTGCAGTTAATGGGATTCGGTATGCTGACAAGGCTGGCGGGTGTGCATCTCTCCTCGCTCGCCCCCCCACCCCCTCCCGGTTATAAGCCCTCTGATTTCGAACAGCAGAGAAGTAGAAAACGATTCCTCAGTTCTACAATGGGCGCATCAGCACCATTTTAATTCAGAGGGTTCGAGTGATAAGTGATCAACCCTACAAAGTGCCGATATCAAACAATTATTAGGCGTTACTGTGAGATAAACTTGTCGTTTTGCAGGAATGCTGGACATTAGCGAACAGAAGACGACTCCTTCGAGCGATAGGAGGGACAAAGGTAAGATAATGAAAGTGTGAACATCGATGATGAAAATTGTGGAATAAGGTTTTGTTCGACAAGAAAGTCTGATCACTATTGCCGAGACACCTGGTTGCTAGGGTGTACGCTCCACATCCCAGCGATGGAGTGGGCGTGGCTGCGTACTTTGTTGAACATGACGTAGAACTATTTCCATTTCATGCAGGTGTTTTCCTATCTTTTAGTGGACAAAGACATGTTTCCAGCTGTTTTGGAACTATAACATCCCTCCAGACGCGCAGCTGTCGCCTCGTTTACATGAAGTACGCAGCCGCGGACACTCCAGTAAGGCATGTGATTCAACATATCCCAGTTGCGGCGGAAGCGGCGTTGTCACCGGTGTCACGTGTCCACGTGCACTTCATACCCGAAGATGAGGGAGGGCGTGTTCCCGTACTTCGAAACGTGGCGTCGTATGCGCTTTCGCGGGACAATTCCATTACAAACAGCTGTCATTCTTTTTAGTGCTGGTCATTGAGTTCCATGAGTGCATAAGGAAAGTACTTGTAACAAAGGAAGCTTCCGGTGTTTGCTTAATTTTTTGCCCTCTTATCAAGGGCACTGCAAGCGATGTGTCACTCGCTATGAGAGCACCTTCTTTCGGTTTTTGTTTTGTGAAATCTGTGAACTGTAAGCTTTCGAAGGGTTCTGTACGAAATTCTGATTTGCTGTGATTTCAGTCAGACTTGACTGCAGTGTACAAAGGAGGAAAAGCCTAATTAAGAAGAATAACGGGGACGTGGCGATCTACGTTCCGACATGTTCACCAACGGATTCCGTGTGAGTCTGTGACTGAATGAAATTCTCACAATAAGCGCTGTGCGCCTTGGGAGGGGCCATACAGCATGATGTGGCTCTCTTTCATCAGAACATAAAGCCTCGCAGAAGGGTGGCCTCCCCTGAGGGACACAGTGCCTGACTTGTTGCGCAAAAGGAAGATGAGATGATTGGAGAATGTGCATGATTCGGTCGCCAAGCCAGACCGAATTCATGCACATTCTCCGAACATCTCTACACTCTCAATATATAACATTTTTCCCGTTTTAAATTGCAAACGGCACGTTTTCAAAATTTAAATTGCTCCCCGTGCAGAGAAGGGAAAGGAGGGGCACCGCACAACAAGCCTTCGTGGAGGAGCGCCATCGAGAGATTCTGTCCGCGCCGCGACCGTCAGTGGGCCTGGGGTGGTTCAGGCGAGATCGTTGCATTTCTCCGCAGCTGTAGAACCACCGCTATTGAACTCCACCTGACAGGTAATTGAGGGGGTTTAGGTCAGGTTAACCCTGCTTAGATATTCCACCTTATTCAGGTACTCAACGCCCTTCCATTCCAAGTAGGCAAGAGTTTTCCCAACGTCCATTTGATTCCATGTGGTGTCACCTAATCTCTGGCAGAAGCTTCCAAGAAAGTAGGGGCGACGAACATATGAAGCAGATATTCTCTCGAGTTCTCGATTAAACGCCAGCCTGCAGCCTTTAGTCCGGGGCCCACGAAGAAAATATCGGTCTCTCCATTCCAGGTACGTCCGGTCCCCACCATCAACTGGCGCCTTGGCGACTGAGGTGAAGATGATGTCCTAGACCGTAGCGACGTTGACGGAGCTGCTCGATGATGGAGGTCTTCCAGAGTACTGGTCTCCAGGTAGCTATCCATGGGTGACTCCACACTAGAAGTTTCGCAGCTGTTTGTGCGTGAATTCCGGAAGGCCTTCCGGTCAGTCAGGTTTGAGGCTGTCGATGACCTCATATTATTGGTGCAGAAGGCGATGGCGAGAGCCTAGCTCGCTGCTTATGCGAGGAACATCGTGGGTATCTTTCGCGCCTGCGTAGCTCGTTCGACGGTTTTCTTTCTGGGCAGCGGAAATGTTGCTGCATATGTGCATCGGTCGAATGTCTTTTTTGCCCGCCCCTCTGTACATAACGCATTTTCCACTTTAAAATTCACCAGTTTATTCAAACAAAATTCACTGCATGATTTCAAACCAACAATTCACTGCTTTTTAAGCAAATTCGCCACAACTTTTCAGAGCAAATTCACCATTTTTTGCAAACGCAAATTCGATCATTCGCTCTTATGGTTAGACGAGGCAGTTCGCCAACAAATCACTCCAGACACCCCACCCGCGAACCTGTCCCGCCACGCATACTTGCGCAGCGCGGACATAGATTTTGCAACACATGAGATTCGACTCGGCCATCTTTTTAAACTTGCATAACTTTTTTCTTTTTGATATTTGAAACATGCCACCTTGCGCACAACGAAGGTATCGTAGACGAGCGCACATCACGACCGGCGAATTGAGGCTCCGCTTTTCGGCTTACCGCCACATTGCTTTTTTGCGGAATTTTGATATTATTTTTCAAAAAATTTTTGCATTTTTGGACTGCTCGCTTCCATGAACCCGCCACTACTGAGAGGCTTCGCGCCCACTTTGGAGAAGGCCCCGCCCATTTTCAAAATGGTGGCAAGTCGGCAGTATAGAGTCCGTGGCTTGCATGGCAAGGGTATTGCTGGTCATTAGGAACAAACTTTGCCTGATTTATTTGTTCCGAGTGATGGACGAGATGCTAGCATGCAGCCAAGATCACCATACTGCCGGTTTTGCCCACCATTTTTGAAAAGTGCTTATTCAAAGTGGGCGGAGCCTCTCACAGTGGGCGGGGCTTCATGGAGCAGTCCAAAAATGCAAAAATTTTGAAAAATATCAAATTCCGCAAAAAGCAAGTGGGCGTGGCCAAAGGGGCGGAGCCTAAATTGCCGGTGCATGAATGCGCGTCTACGAGTACCTTCGTTGTGCGAAGAGTGGATGTGAAATTAAAAATTGAAAAAGTTATGAAGATTTGAAGTTCGCAACAAACTTTAAAGAATGGGCGGAGTCAGTCATGTGTTGAAAATCTATGTCCGCGCTGACAAGTAGGCGTGACCGTCGGGGCAGGGTTCGCGGTGGTGTCTGGCGTGATTTGGTTGGTGAACTGCCTGGTCTAAGAAGAGTGGTGAATTTGGTTTGAAAAGTGGTGAATTTGCTTTGAAAAGTGGTGAATTTGCTTTGAAAAGTGGTGAATTTGGTTTGAAAAGTGGTGAATTTGGTTTGAAAAGTGGTGAATTCGAAGTGAAAATGGTATATATGTTGGGTGCGTTCTGTGGCTGGAGAAAATTTTTGCAAAGTATGTCCACCTCTTCGAAGATTTCTTCTGAAGGACCCCCTCCTTTCCCATCTCCTTCACGGGGAGAAATTCTAAGGATTTCCCTCAAACCCATCGAGTGGGCGGAGGATGTAGCGTCACTGATGCGGTAAAAACGAGAATAATTTAGCAACTGAATAAATTTTTCTCCGAGGGGAACAAGACCCTATCCCTCCGGCCACTGAGCACGACCTCTCGTTGGAGAACCCCTGTTGGTACAGTTATTATGTAACCATGGCCTACTTAGCACAGTGGCCTCCCATTTACCTCAGCATCGATGAGAAACTCAAAGTAACAAAGTAATATCAGTGTGCACGTTGAAATGCTTGACTTTTATTGGTAACCTACAAATATAGATCTGCTGCAGAAATTACCTTGCCGTGCAGTGCCTTGAGGTGCCGAAGTACTGCTGGTGTGTTCATCCTGCAACCGGAGAACCGATACCAGGTTGGCGAATGGGTTATGAGACAAAGAATGTACTTCCAGGACCACATCTTTCAGGGACTTCCGTGCTGGAGGCCAAACCGCAATGCGCTGAAGAAGAACCGAAACCAAAATCAAGGCATGGCCGTAAAAATCGTGAGATTCTCTCCTGATATACTGGGTTGTCCCATAATTTTTGTACGATTTACAACTTCTTTGTACATTCAATAGTTCTCTTTTGTTCTAGAAACGTGTGGACTCTAATCAAGAAAATAGCCAGCAGTTGAGACCACTTACGTGGGCCAGTTTAGCTAGCTGACGGTCGAAGAATTTGAAGAATTCGTTCCTGAGGTGGCTGCAGTTATATAATCTTCCTTTCATCATCTGCTGGTAAGGGCGCAGAAGAAATTATAATCCCATGGAGAAAACTATGGATATGCGCGGATATCCTAGCTTGCTCGGGTCCGGTTCTTCTAGGATGTGGCAAGTTGTTTTTCCAATGCAAGGTTGAACGTCATCCTCAAAAGGGTCGATACTGAGTCGTTCGTGCACTAGGAGCTGTCCCGCGTGCGTATGTGAGTAACCACCTGTTTCTAATCCAGCTCTTCGTAATACTTTCTTCTGCCATTTCCAGAAAATCGGGCGTTATCCTTCTCAATTATTGAACTCAGGCCGTAGGCTGGTGAGTTTTGACCGTGGAGCAACAGCTAGAGTTGGTCGTACCAGAGTGTTCGCTGCAAAGCTGCCATAGAAGCTGTTTACAAGCAATCGCACTTACAAGGGACTTTTATTCACGGTGACTGCTCACCCACGATGAAGTTTACTTCCTGAGCTCGCATTGCCTCAGACACTATTGAGTCACTGTGTCACTGTAAGGTTAGTAGCATTGCCAGGTCCTAATACAGGGCTTACCTCTTTGACAGTACCTCTAGCGCGTGTTCGGACTAAAAATCATAACAAGAGGCCATAATCCACTCTCAGCTGGTTGATTTACAACGCATTTTCTGTTTTCAGTTTTTTCCAGGCTAACGCCCTTACTTTACTCCCTAACTTATTACATGTAGTCGTCGATAACCGGAGTTTAGATGAATTTCGATTTGAAAAGGAATCGGGCAAGAATTATGGGACAGCATACTTTAATAATTGGTGCAAAACTGAAATAACCGTTCCAGGGTGCTCGGGAAAGAGAAGGACGCGATTTTTGCGGCGTTTACTATCGGCAATCAAAACTGAAATGATAATGACTGGTAAGACTACTTGAATCGAGCTGGATTTTTAGCTGAATCAATGCTTATTTGACGAAATCGTACATTCTTTTGTTCCGCCCCGCGTTTGTAGGTCATTTTTATGCTCGTTTTATGTTTTGTTTTTACTGAAATTTTGATTTTCTCTCCACTTTCTGGTTCTGCTTCAATAGTGTCCAATTTGAAAAAGGACCAATGTTTAGTGAAAAATCGCAAAATGCTTTGAAAATGGGCGGGGCTATCGGGGTGGAGCTTGCAGCTGCATGCATGCTGAACAGCTAATCTATGAATCAGTGCAAAGTCCACGCAGAGACAACTACAAAAAGTAATTACAATTCGATGATGAGAGTGCTGACCTTGCTCGCAGAGATAATTGAGAATGCTGTGGACAGTTGTCTTGTCAGAACCTTTTCAAGGACCTTACCTTCGTGTTCTTTTCAGGGAACAATGTAGACGAAAACGTGAACCGTGAAACTGCCATCAAATGGAAGTTCGATCAGCTTAATGTTAACAAAAATCAGGTGTGTACTGCAATGAGGGCTGTAATTTTAATGTATCTAGGAGCTGCACTACCCTTTGGAAACATCCTCAATGAAATTCCACGGTGGAATCCAGAATTCTCAGAAATTTTCCTTTTGAGTTGTTGGAACGAAACGAGTGGAAGCCGTACAAAAATTCAATAGTCCAGTGGAAGAAAGTGAAACATTGCTCCAGGAACTTCTTCAAAACCTGTGACACGGACGGAAATCGGAAACTGACTCTAGATGAGAGTGGAAGAAATGCTTTGATCCTGGTCAGTTTTTGGTTGCTTCAGCCTTACCATATCCTCACACGCTGCTCGCTTTCGCTTAACTATACGCTGTACGCTTACCTGCAAGACGGGCTTTGCCATGTGCGAGGAGGATAAGTCCGCAGGCGTGATGTGGGTTTCATCATGGAGCGGTCCAAGGTATTAGGAAATCGAGCTACTGATTTGTAAGTAGGGCTTGGTGCCCGTTTTGAGACTCAGACGCTGGTTACTGGTGAAGCGCATGTGCGATCGAACGAGTGATACCGAGGTCCCGCAGTGAACAACATGAACGGCAAGCTGTTTATCGTTTGCCAGTTGCGGAGAGTAATGAGAAAGGGGAGGGCGCAGACAAGTAGCGCATTTGGCCACGGTTGAGGCCTGTGGCAGCTGTGCAGAGCGGCTCTGTGCAGCGGCCCAAGCGGAATGGCGAGACGGCAACTCTTCCCGTTTTTCTAGTGACAGCTGCGGACCCATTCACCTCCTACATGGCAGGGACCAGGATCGAGCAAGTGATTGTATTGATCTTCAGGGCTTCGTTTCATATGAAAAACATTGTTATATCTTTACGTTTTTCAGTCGTGCAAAAGACGCCAACTCTTCGACCGGACCAGCTTAATCCTTTCCTGTACATTTTGAAAGCCGACTAAATATTGTTCGAATTGATAAAAATTCTAATCTTGATTTGTCGGTAACTTTTTCTAGCATAGCACTTTCACAAAAGATCTCTACAGCACATAAGGATTTTTCTGGTCAGTGAAACACTAAGCAATGCCTGAAAGCTTCTACACCGCGGAAGTAAGCTTTTTCGCTGTCTTTGCCACGTCCCTGAAGTGGTGAACTCGATGTAGGTCTTTTGAGTAGCACAAAGAATAAGATTCCGGAACGTGGTCTCATCAAAGGCAGGATGAGCAGTCGCTCTATGTGCGAGAGCTTCCTAACATAGCCCTGAAGAGAAAAGTGGAAACTGTAGAAAACGTCCTGAACAGGGGCGGAATTTCAGAAAGGGAGTTCGGACGACAAACTGGACAGGACCGGCGAGATAGCATACAAACCAGCAAAAGGGCAGACACAAGCAAGGCAAAAACACCCGCGCTGTGGTGGAGCCACTTGGTGACATTTAACCCAAGCTTGTGCCGACCTTATAGCTTTCTGACACAAAACTGGTACAATGTTTTTCCACTTCGGCACATCCTACACACGGCCTTGATTCTTGCAAATAATATGAAAATGTGCTTCTAAGTCTCTATACAATGACTGGTTCACCTGCACTCATACAAGGTACCTCAACTGAATGGAGAATTTTCTAGTAATTTACAGTGTTTCATCTTTTTGTTATCCTTTCCTCAATTCACTTGAGGTAAAGAACCCAATCAAAACACACCTTCCAAATGGAGCCCAGGATTGGCTGATTGCTATGATTGGTCGGCTGGTACATCGTGAAAAATGAAGACGCTTGTACAGCGGACGGCCCCACAAGTTATTGTATGGGCCAAAAATTCAGTATGTTCTGTACAAGCTGAACACTCGCTACCATGTACTTTGAGGGATATGGGGCAAGAGAATCGTACTTGCCGCGCAATCGGGCGTCGCGTGCGACGTTGCGCCCCCTACTGACCACGATTTTAGGTGGTAGAGAAATTATGACCAAAAATAGTCATAATTGTCTACCATGTCCTTGTCTACGTATGAAATCCGATGCTCCAATCGAAAGGGCAGTGCAAATCAAGGAAACGTGACGCCCATTGCCGCGCGCGACGAAACGGCAATTAGGCTGCGTTTATACTTTGCGGCAGCGTAGCGTAGCGCTTCCAGCGTACGCCAGCGGCAGTGCTGGGGAGAGGATGCATATCGATCTAGCGTTCCCAGCGTCACCAGCGTAACGCTAGCGTACGCTAGCGTTACGCCAGCGTTTCTCCAGCGTTTCACCAGCGTTTTGCTAGCGTTTGCAGCGGCAGGGGAGTAGAGACTATGGGAGAGCTGGAGGGTACAAAACACATCGATTGCGCGTCTCTCACTCGCCCTCAGTCTCTACAATACACGTCGATTCCGCGTCTCTGACGGCCACATAGTCTCTACAATACACATCGATTCCGCGTCTCTTACGGCCACATAGTCTCTACTCCCTGCCGCTGCAAACGCTAGCAAAACGCTGGTGACGCTGGGAACGCTAGATCGATATGCATCCTCTCCCCGGCACTGCCGCTGGCGTACGCTGGAAGCGCTACGCTACGCTGCCGCAAAGTATAAACGCAGCCTTATTCTCTTCCCCGTCTCCCTACTTTGAGACGGGAGTAAGGCATTCGGCCAAAATCCATTCAATATAACTGACAATTTTGTGAAGACCTTACAAGTCTATCACGCTCCATGTGTCCGTTGACCTTGTTCAGCTGAGTACAGTTCTTTAGGGAGTGCAAGGGAAGTTCCCTTTCCTTCGTTTCTGTACTCCACTCAGAAATCATCTTTACACCGAATGAGTGCACTGTCTGTTGAAAGGAGTTTGATTTGTGTTGTACCTATTAGCCCTCGTAAAATGAGTGGGATGTGAGATGT